ATTTATTAAATAGGGAATCCTTTCCCCATTTCTTGTTTCTCTCAGGTTTGTCAAAGATCAGATGGCTGTAGATGTGTGGTATTATTTCTGAGGACTCTGTTCTGTTCCATTGGTCTATATCTCTGTTTTGGTACCAGTACCATGCTGTTTTGGTTACTGTAGCCTTGTAGTATAGTTTGAGAGCTGTTTATGACAAACCCACAGCCAATATCATACTGAATGGGCAAAAACCGGAAAAATTCCCTTTGAAAACTGGCACAAGACAGGGATGCCCTCTCTCACCACTCCTATTCAACATAGTGTTGGAAGTTCTGGCTTGGGCAATTAGGCAAGAGAAAGAAATCAAGGGTATTCAGTTAGGAAAAGAAGAAGTCAAATTGTCCCTGTTTGCAGATGACAGGATTGTATATTTAGAAAACCCCATTGTCTCAGCCCAAAATCTCCTTAAGCTGATAAGCAACTTCAGCAAAGTCTCAGGATACAAAATTAATGTGCAAAAATCACAAGCATTCTTATACACCAGTAACAGACAAACAGAGAGCCAAATCAGGAATGAACTTCCATTCACAATTGCTTCAAAGAGAATAAAATACCTAGGAATCCAACTTACAAGGGATGGAAAGGACCTCTTCAAGGAGAACTACAAACCACTGCTCAGTGAAATAAAAGAGGACACAAACAAATGGAAGAACATACCATGCTCATGGATAGGAAGAATCAATATCGTGAAAATGGCCATACTGCCCAAGGTAATTTATAGATTCAGTGTCATCCCCATCAAGCTACCAATGAGTTTCTTCACAGAATTGGAAAAAACTGCTTTAAAGTTCATATGGAACCAAAAAAGAGCCGGCATCTCCAAGACAATCCTAAGTCAAAAGAACAAAGCTGGAGGCATCACACTACCTGACTTCAAACTATACTACAAGGCTACAGTAACCAAAGATACATGATCTTTTCTAATCTACAAACGCTCATTAGCCGCCATGAATGTCTAAATATGGCACTTCAATAATTTTTTTCTTTCAGCATATAAGGATATATCTACAAAGTAATATACATTTAAGTTTAGCTTTTAAATTTTATTATACTTCCTTTCCTTAAACTTCTTTCCACCATTTCAACTGTGTTAACTTTCTTTCCTTAGTTCACTATTCCTTCTTCTTTCTTTCTTTTTTTTTTTTTTTTTTAAATTTGAGATGGAGTCTTGCTCTGTTGCTCAGACTGGAGTGCAGTGATAGTTCACTATTATTTCTAAAAATGTAGGTTCAGAAGAATTTCAAATAATGTACTGTGAAAAGTATTTACCTTTCTAAGCTTCAGTTTCTTTATCTGGAAGACCAGGACTTTGGATTAGCTGAGCTTCCAGATTCCTTTTAGCTTTAGGTTACAAAGTGTCAAAAATAAAGAGAACTAATTTTTCTGTTATATTGAATATATATTGTTGTTATAAGTTTCACAACATTTCCTTCGTCTTTTTAAGCTTGACTTGTTAGTCCTCCTCACCACTCTTTTCTAACTTAGAAGAATGGCTATTTATATTTCAGTTCCTTATGTAGTTCTTATATTCATTGTAACCTTGATTCCTTATTAAGAATAGGATAACTTTTGGTGTGGCCCCAGGGCTATGGTAAGAAAAAATCAGAGGGTCTCACTTGAAAGAATCGGAGTGTTAAATTTCATTTGTGGGAGGCAATGGTTTTGCCAGAGGGAAAGAGTCATTCTGCCTTGGTAGTCTTTTTTTTTTTAAATTTTTTAATTTTTTGTTTTTCTTTTGCATCTTTACCCTTGGATCCTAGTGCCTGAACCTACAAGTCTGCTAAATTCTTCAATGATTTTTTATCTCACTACATATAGCATTCTTTCAAATGCAAGGTCAGGGTGTAAGTAGCTTTTGATATCATGGTTGTAAAAGGAGAATTGGCGCCTATTTCAGATAAAACCTCTTTTTAGCTTTCCATAAAAGCTTTGTTTTTTCCCATGTAGTATTTGATTTTTATATCTACGTAAAAAATAGAATAAAACTGGAGAAACAGAGGAACAAGGTTTGTGACTATTGAAATAACGGAAATGCATGTTGGGATGATACATTAAAAGGGCATTTATTTCACTTCTTCATCGTCAAACAAACTTGCTGTTAAGTCAGCCAGGAACATGAGTCTGTAATCTTTCTATGCTGTTCTGTGACATCAATATCAACTGCTGCTTTTTCAACATACAAGATTGTTAACTTACTAATTTAGGCTTTTAAGTATATTTAAGTCACTGGGCCTTTGGAATACAGGAATTTTTTAAAATACCAGGAAATATTAGCTGTGCATGACTCATTAACTCATTTAAATTGTAATTTCTTTTTTGATCGGAGGGCAAATGTAGAAGATATTTGCATATTTTCTTTTGAATAAGCATCTGTCCCAACCTCACACCATACATAAAGATTAAGATGGATTAAAAACCTAAATGTAAGAGCTAAAATTATAACACTCTTAGAAGACATATATGTAAACCTTTCATGCTTTTGGATTTGGCAGTGTTTTTTATATGACCTCAAAAGCCCAACAATAAAAAAAATTGGATAAATCAGGGTTAATCAAAATATAAAAACCTTTGTGCTTCAAAGGACACTATCAATAAAGTGAAAAGATAGCCACAAAGTGGGGAGAAAAATTTGCAAATCATGTATTTGACAAATGATTTTTATCTAGAATACATGAATAATGTTTGCAGCTCAACAATAGACAACTAATCCAACTAAAAATATAACAGAGGTATGAGTGAGATCATGCGGTGTTTGGGAATTGAACAATGAGATCACTTGGACTCTGGAAGGGGAACATCACACACTGGGGCCTATTATGGCGGGGGGGAAGGGGAAGGGATGGCATTGGGAGTTATACCTGATGTCAATGACGAGTTGATGGGTGCAGCACACCAACATGGCACAAGTATACATAGGTAACAAACCTGCACATTGTGCACATGTACCCTAGAACTTAAAGTATAATAAAAAAAAAATATAACACACGTCCTGAAATAGAAATTTCTTCAAAGAAGATATACAAATATCCCATAAGCATATGAGAGATGCTCAATGTCAACTGAGCATCAGAGAAATGCAAATATTACAATGAGATATACTTCACACCCACTAGGATGGTTACCATAAAAAGGTGGACAGGCCGGGCGCGGTGGCTCAAGCCTGTAATCCCAGCACTTTGGGAGGCCGAGACGGGCGGATCACGAGGTCAGGAGATCGAGACCATCCTGGCGAACACGGTGAAACCCCGTCTCTACTAAAAAAAAAGTACAAAAAAACTAGCCGGGCGAGGTGGCGGGCGCCTGTAGTCCCAGCTACTCGGGAGGCTGAGGCAGAAGAATGGCGTGAACCCGTGAGGCGGGGCTTGCAGTGAGCCGAGATCCGGTCACTGCACTCCCGCCTGGGCGACAGAGCGAGACTCTGTCTCAAAAAAAAAAAAAAAAAGTGGACAATACCCAGTTTGGGTAAAGACACTGAAGTCAGAACCCTTATACACCGCTTCTGATGGAAATGGGAAATGGTGCAGCCACTTTGGAAAGCAGTCTGCTGGTTCCTCAAAAATGTGTACACTTACCATTTGACCAATTTAACTCTTGCACATTTACTTATAAGAAATGAAGACATGTTCATATAAAAGGTTGAACATTGCTGTATACAGCAGTATTATTTCTCATAGACAAATGGCAGAAACAACCCAAATAACCACTAACAAATGGATAAACAAAGTATTTTATATCCATACAATGGAATATTATCGAGCCATAAATGTAATGAAGTACTGATACATGAAAATATGCTAAATGAAAGAAGCCAGTTATAAAAGGCCATGTATTGTATATTATGTAATCCCATTTATATGAAGTGTCCAAGATAGGAAAATCCATAGAAACAGAGTAGATTACTGTTTGCCAAGATGTGGGGAGGGAATGGGAATATTGAAAGGTGACAGCTGAATGTTACAGGGTTTCTGTTTGAGGTAATCGAAGTGTTCTGGAATTAACTCATGGTTTGCACAAGCTGGTGAATATACTAAACACCTGTGAATTGTGCCGCTCAAATGGGTATTAGTATTACACTCAGTAGGTAGTATTTATATTACATTCAAAAGTAGTATTTGTATTACACTCAATAAAACTGTTACCAAAAATAAGCATATTTTGCCTTCTTTCTGTCAAAGTAAAATTCTGAATATGTTAAAAATATTCCCATAAAAATATATGAGATACAGAGATAAAATAGGCTAGAATCAGTTTGCTTGGTAACATGCCACACTGGTATAATGTCTTATGCAGGATAATAAAACCATAAAGTTTTGAGTTTACCTTTTTTTTTTTTTTTTTACCATACTCATATCTATTAGATAATCATTTTTATTCTTTTTTCAATTCAGTTTCTAATTGTATAGTCTGAGCTCTAATGATACAAAATTAGTAGTACATAGAATGATTTTGCTAGAAACTTAGATGACTCTTAAGAGGACTTGTTAAAAGGTGCTCCAGGATCACATAAAAAGAGCATGTAGTCATCCTTTTACCTCAATTTTAATAAATTTTTATCAAAGCTCCTATACTATCCACTGCAATTTATTGGCATGCAGCTTCCTCCAAGAAATGAAGTGACCAGAAGCTTACACTCCTGATGTTAAACACATACACACACACACACACACACACACACACACACACACACACACAAGAAGAGAGAGAGAGAGAGAGAGAGAGAGATGTACAAATGTAGAAGGGTAGGCAGAGTTTCAAGATGAATGCTGGTATTTATGGCTGGAGAATGATAAGTTATTTGGAAGCACACTGTGCTTGTTATCACTATATTGCTTCTCATGCCCAAACTATCCTTTTTTGCCCTACTTTGTAATACTGGATCTGGACCCCGTAAACATTTCTCCTTTAATAGTATAATGCTAAGCTCTGTAGTAGAGGGATCTAGAAGAGTTTTTCTCTTTCTGAATCTGGTGTCCTGCTTTTCTTTCTTGCTTCAGTGACATGCAGCTGAGCTGTCATTGGTGAGGGTCACCAGTAGTGTGCACCCCAGTGAGTGGCTTCTTAGTGAGTTTTGCCAGCACTACAGAAGCAGCTTTCTAGTGAGATTTCTCATCCCAGAAGTAGCTTCCCAGCAAGTTTCACTGCCCCCTAGCTGATGAGGCTGGTGATGCTGTTGGTTTCACAGTGAGTATCAGTGGAATATTTGGGGGCAGGTTTCTGTTTTCCAGGCTTGGTGTGCATCATTTCAGTGAAGTTCTCAGACATCCTGTGGGTGACAACTGCACCTTCTCTAACCAGTTCAAAATATTAGCCTTACCACAGTTGTCTTCTAAGATCATCTCTTTTTTGGATACTTGTTTCTAGCCCTAGAGGTAGTGGCTGCCACTTACATCTGCTAGTTGTATAACTTTTTTTTTTTTTTTTTTTTTTTGAGATGGAGTCTCGCTCTGTTGCCCAGGCTGGAGTACAGTGATGCAATCTGAGCTCACTGCAACCTCTGCCTCCCAGATTCAAGCAATTCGCCTGCCTCAGCCTCCTGAGTACCTGGGATTACAGGTGCCCATCACCACACCCAGCTGATTTTTATATTTTTAGTAGAGAGGTGTTTCACCGTGTTGGTCAGGCTGGTCTCAAACTCCTGACCTCAGGTGATCCACCCACCTCGGCTATATTTTTTAGATTTTTTTATATATATTTTTTATTTTTTTATATTTTTTGGTTAATCCCCTGTTGTGAATTCATATTTCCTCATATTCTGTTTTCACTCTTCGGGTTACTGGTGTGGTTTCTGCTCCTAACTGATGTCTAACTGATACAGATAGCGTTAGGCTTTTACCTGAATCCTTTTATCAGAGGAGAAGCAGCTAAAATCCAAAAGAAAGAGTCTTTTGAGGCCAAATTTGAAAGCACCTGCAGTAATATTTGGTGTGTCATTACTGTTAAATAGTTTAATATTTTCTTCAAAATTCTTAAATTTTTTGCTCCAGGAAGATACAGATACTTAGCAGTGATTGTCAACTATGACTTTTTCTACCTCTGAATAAATTGCTATGCTCACCTGAAAGTATACATTCCCATGTTGGTTGTATAATGCGTATATTCTTAAAGAGTCTCAACACAGTCTCAAGCTGGTTCAATACTGTTTCTGTAGTCTCACTACCTGCCAAGTAGGTCTTAAGTGTACCACTGTGACTCTTCTAGGCTTACAATAATCTTTAATCTTGGAGAGGAAAGGTGCCCACAGGAAATTCAGATGAGAAGCATGCAACATTTTGAAACACTTATAGGTGTCACTATTTCTGGCTGAATGCTGTGCAGTGCTGGTTGCTGATAATTTACTATCTTCTGTAGATAATAATAAAGAGAATTATTTGTTCCGTGAGTCACAGGATGGAGCTCACTTGTATAAAGTTTGGATAGTTCATGACCCCTGTCTCTACTCCTGTGGGACAGCATGGTCCTTGAACAAGATGTCTCCTCAAGGTCATTTGCTAATTGCCTGCCATCCCTGTAATACGGATATCTCACCATTGCTGTGTTTGTTTCCATCTTTCTACATGGGTACCTAATAGCCACTTTTTTTCTGGACATTCTTGCTGTCTATGATTTGTGGTCAAATAAATAATGAAAATTCTCACTTTCAGTATTCATTTTAATGAAAATTCACAGACTGGGGACTGGTACAGACTCCATTGTTTCACAGCCTTGCTTTCCCCCACCCCACCCCAGGTCCAGGCTTCCCCGGGCCTGGTGGTCCACCTCTCTCTATGCAAACACACCAAAGCCACGAATGCTGGAATGCAAAACTGATGAGGTTTCTTTCTTTTTCAGAATAATGAAAATTTGCATTTTCATTATTTGCTTTGTATCCTTTTTGAACACCCCCTTCCGGACACCACTCCTCCCCACAGGGCTGAAGCTGAAAGAGAAGGAAAGGAGGGAGCTCCATGAGGAGTTTGGACACCTGAAGCGGGTCCACCAGGAGAAGTGCAAGGTGGTGGAAAGGCACCAGGAACTGGAAGAGGAGACCAATGCTTTCAACTGACTGAAGGCTGCGGTAGAGGCCTTGCAGTCGCAGGCTTTGCAATATCACCTTACAGCAGCCCCTGTGGAAGGCAAGGACAAGAAGAATCAACACACGCGTGCTTACATGTCGAGAGTGGACTTTAGACTCTCATGTGTTCAGTTGTTTGAGTTACACCTTACGACTCTTCTCATAACATAGTGTGAGGACAGACTGGGAGCCGGTACCGACTCCATTGTTTAACAGCCTTGCTTTCCCCTACCCCACCCCAGGTCCAGGTTTCCCCGGGCCTGGCGGGTCACCTCTCTCTATGCAAACACATAAAAGCCATAAATGCTGGAATGCAAACCTGATGAGGTTTCTTCTTCAGAACCAGTGGTTGTTCTTCCATTTACAGTGTCACTGTTGCTTCATGGAGGAGTTAGGTGTGGCTCTAGCAAAGGCCCCAGCCATGATACTGGGCCTGATTGTGCAGCAGCTCGTTTGGTGCCATAGGTGCAGCTGCTGGTCTGGTGGACTTGCTGCAAAATGTGCTCATAGTTGCTCATTTTAACTTTCCAAACCTAGAGCTCAGTTTTAATAACTTCAAAACTTTAAAACACTTCTAAATTTTTATTTTGGCATCAGTGTAAAGACAAATAATATCCTCTCCTACTGTTTTCATAAGGAACACACATTCACTGATTTAAAAAAAAAATCACTAAACTTTTCTAATGTATAAAACATCCCTATAATACAGAGTGAGAGATGGGTAATAAACTTCCTGTAATAACAGTGTTTGGCTTTTTATTTATTTTTATTTTTATTTTTAGACAAGATCTCACTATATGCCCAAGCTGGAGTCCAGTGGCGGGATGATGGCTCACTGCAGCCTCCACTTCCTGGGCTCAAAGAATCCTCCCTTAAGTAGCTGGGACCACAGGCGTGTGCATTTTACATTTCTTTACTGATGGAAGTAGAACCTGAACAAACCCATGTCCACTGTTGTTACTATGAATGTAAACGGAATAGTGGCCTGAAGCAGTCTGTGCCCCAGAGATGATACCTGTGAAAAGGGACCAGTTCCATTTGTCTGTGTTAAAGTGTTTGACTCCAGTTAAGACAGGATTCCAAGCAGGCTGGACATGGTGGCTCACGCCTGTAATCCCGGCACTTTGGAAGGCTAAGGCAGGCGGATCACTTGAGGCCAGGGGTTCTAGACCAGCCTTGTCAACATGGCCAAACCCCCTCTCTACTAGAAACACAAAAATTAACTGGGTATGGTGGTACATGCCTATAATCCCAGCTCCTCAGGAGACTGAGGCACAAGAATCATTTGAACCTGGGAGGTGGAGGTTATAGTTAGCTGAGACCGTGCCACTGTACTCTAGCCTGGGTGATGGAGAATAGGAAAGAAGAAAAAAAAGACTCCCAAGCCAACCCTGCATATTCCAAATGGAAAGAGTGCTCAGTGGGGAAAAGGTTGTTACTGCAAAGTCGTTGCTGCTGATTTCCTGGCTGGGACACAGGGTGAAGGAATGAAGGTGTCTGATGTACACGGACGATTTAAGAAAAAATAGGCAGCAAAGGAGCTTTTCCCCTTCAGCTGCACTCTAAAGGGGAACATTTAAGGAGGCACTAGCAGCATTGATTCTTCTATGCTTCTGTTGGTTTACAAGCCTCTGAGAAGGTGAACATTGAGAGTATTACCTGGTAAAACGGGAGATGAAAAATGACTAGATGAAAGGAAGGGTATCCTTTAATGTTGATGAAGCACTATGCTGGGCACTGGAACTACCCAGAGGAATGCACAGTGCTCCCCTCAAGGGGCTCGCAGTCTAGCATACTGCGTGGCTAACAGCATTAGGAAGCTGTGCTAATTTATTGCTAGTTTGCTTTTCATGTCTCTTTCCTTCCCATTACCACTTCCTCCTTTCTTCTTAGCTTGCTTTATTCATTTCCAGCACCAAGTCCTGGCTTCCTTCTACCTCCCTGAGATGATGTTCTGCTCAGGGAGAGACAGCTGGGTGAGCTGCTTGTGTCCACTGAGGCACCACCAGGGAAAGGCAGCCTTTGCATGTGAGGTCCTCCACATGCCAGGAGTAGGGCAGATTCTAGTGACAATTCTCCAAGTGTTTATGTCATGACCAGGGTGGATCCAGATTTTGTGGATGGAAGCTTCAACTAATTAGATGTTTTAATAAAAATACGAATATAAAACTAGGTAGAGGGCCTTGGAAATGGCTCTGAAAATAAAGCTTCATTAGCTTCACAAAAGTCTAACTCTGGTTGCATCTGAAAACTGATGCTTCGATGTGGGTATCTACAAAGGTAAACTGGCATATCTAAGGCAAATGTAGGCTGCAAGTGGCTCATCTCTAGGGCAACTTTATGTCTGAAAGTGTATTCAGTTGGGTCAAAGTATGCCCTTTAATAAAGCCTCTCAGCTATTGTATGTCTGAAGATGAGGTCTGATGACCCAGCAGGGTTCACTGGCTACACTAGAAATCCTGGTTCAGGGGCCAGTCTGGGACTCTACTGTGGGCAGATTTGCCAGTTGTACACTGCAGCCTGTGGGTTGCACCCCAGGCATACTGGTAGGCCATAATTTTTGTTGCTTGCCTGCCTATGGGCCTAAGTCTTCCCAGCATCTTTGGAGAGGCTTGACAGACTTGAATTTTCTGGGGTCTGAGCTGCTTCTGCAGGTCCCGTTAGTTCTTACGAGCCTCACCTCTTCCCCTGCTGTTAGTGTTTGGAATTTTGTCTTTGGCTGAGAACAAATTAATACTTGGTGCACAACGTGAGCTTAAAACTTGCCTTTATTTAACAAGATACCGTTCATGGAATGTGACCCTGTCTGCAGGATCTCATTTACCCTTTTATTTTTTCCTTTGTCATTGTTTGTTAGCATTATTAGGGCTGTCTTATAGGCTAATGTGGGCATTTACCATCATCTCTTTCATAAACCATGTTGGTTTGGGGTAGAAAAATCATATGTTTTATTGTGTAAACTGGGACTATTGAGAAAGGGGATGCTGTTAGTAACTGAAGTAGATCAACAGGCGTAAACCAGAACTGTCCCAGGCAAACCGGAATATATGGTCTTCTTAGTTATGGGTAACCTGGTCTAGGTGGGTTTTGTAACTGTGCATACAGACTGCATATATATTTATGTGTGTGTGTGTGTGTGTGTGTCGGCTCCCTGTAAAGTGGGTTTCCTATTACTGAATAAGAGGCCTGAGGGAACTATGGCTTGCTAGTCTGTTATGTTAACATGCTTTTCTAAAATTGCTTCACTTGTTAATTCATTTACTCCTTCATTCATTGTTTTGTTTTTGTTCCTTGTCATTCACTTCGTGCTCACTTTTTTTTTCATTAAATTTTGCGTTAAAATTTTACGTATCTGCCAACAGTGTACGGGGTTCACTTTTCTCCACATCCTCACCAGCATTGCTTGTCTTTTGAGTAAAAGCCATTATAACTGGGGTGAAATGATATCTCATTATATTTTCAGTTAGCATTTCTCTGATTATCAATGATATTGAGGATATTTTAATACTTCTGTTTGCTATTTGCATGTCTTTAAAGAAACATCTATTCAGATTTTTGCCCATTTTAAATTGGCTTATTAGATATTTTCCTATAGTGTTTGAGCTCCTTATATATCCTGGTTTTCTTGTCAGACTGGTAGTTTGCAAATATTTTCTCCCATTCTGTGGGTTGCCTGTTCACTTTGTCTATTGTTTCCTTTGCTGTTCAGAAGCTTTGTAACTTGATGTGATTCCATTTGTTCATTTTTGATTTGGTTAGATGTGCTTATACGGTACTACTCAAGAAATCTTCACCCAATCTGATATCCTAGAGAGTTTTCTTAATGTTTTCTTTTAGTATTTTATAGTTTGAAGTCTTAGATTTAAGTCTGATACCTTTTGATTTGACTTTTGTATATGGTGAGAGATAGGGGTCTAGTTTCTTTCTTCTGCATATGGATATCCAGTTTTCCCAGCACCATTTATTGTAGAGACTGTCCTTTCCCCAGTGTATGTTCTTGGCAAACCTTGTCAGAAATGAGTTCACTGTAAATGTATGGGTTTGTTTCTGGAGTCTCTATTCCATTGGTCTATGGGTTTGTTTTTATTTCAATGCCATGCTGTTTTGGTTACTATAGCTCTGTAGTGCAATGTGAGATCAGGTAATGTGATTCTTCCAGTTTTGTTATTTTTGCTCAGGATGATTTTGGCTATTCTGGGTCTTTTGTGGTGCCATATAAATTTTAAGATTTTTTTCCTCCTGTGAAGACTGTCATTGGTATGGTGATAGAGATTGCATTTAATCTGTACTTTGCTTTAGGTAACAGGGACATTTGAGCAATATTGATTCTTAAAATCCATGAATATAGAATATCTGCCCATTTTTTGTGTCCTCTTCAACTTACTGCATCAGTATTTTATAGTTTTTGTTGTGAGGATCTTGTCTTTGGCTAATTCATAGGTATTTTATTTGTAGCTATTATAAATGCGATTGCTTTCTTGATTTCTTTTTCAAATGGTTTGCTATTGGCATAAGGAAGTGTTACTGATTTTTGTATGTTGATTTTATATCCTGCAACTTCTCTGAATTTGTTTATAAGTTCTAAGAGCCTTTTTGGTAGTGTCTTAAGTTTTTCTAAATATAAAATTATTTCATTTGGAAACAAGGATAATTTGACTTCTTCCTTTCTAACTTAGATGCCCTTTATGTCTTCCTCTTGTCTGATTGCTTTAGCTAGGGTTTCAGGTACAATGTTGAATAACAGTGGTGAAAGTGGACATCCTTTCATGTTCCAGACCTTAGAGGAAAGACTTTCAGTTTCTTTCCCATTCAGTATGATATTAGCTGTGGGTCTGTTATATATGGCTTTTATTGTGATGTGGTATGTTTTTTATATACCCAAGTCTTTAGGGTTTTTAAGCACAAAAAGTGTGAATTTTTTTCAAATGCTTCTTCAACATCAATTGAAATGATCATATGTTTTTTGTCCTTCATTGTGTTGATAAGATGTATCACACTGATTGTGTCTGTTGAACCATCCTTGCATTCCTGGCATAAATCTCACTTGGCCATGATGAATGATGTTTTCAATGTGTTGTTGAGATTTGTTTTGCTAATATTTTAAGAAGTTTTGCATCAGTTTTCATCAGGGATATCGATGTGTAGTTTTCTTATTTATCTGTTTATTTTGATATGTCTTTGCCTTGTTTTGGTATCAGGGTAATATTGGTCCATAGGATAAATCTGGAAGTATTCCCCCCTCCTCCATATTTCAAAATACTTTGAATAGAAATGATATTAGTTCTTCTTTAAATGTTTTGTAAAATTTAGCATAAAAGCCATCAGATCCTGGACTTTCATTTGCTGGAAGACTTTTCAATAAGTCTTCAATGACATTACTTGTTATTGTTCTATTCAGGCTTTAGATTTCTTCATGATTCAATCTTGATATGTTATGCGTTTCTAGGAATTTATGGATTTCTCCTGGATTTTCCACTTTATTGGCATATAGTTTCTCATGATAGCCTCTAATGATCCTTTGAATTTCTGCAGTATGAGTTGTAATGTCTCCTTTTTCATCTCTGATTTTATTCATTTGTATCTTCTCTCTGTTTTTGGTCTGGCTAAATGTTTGTTGATTATATTTATCTTTCTGAAAAACATACTTTTAGTTTCATTGATCTTATTTCTTTATTTCAGTTTCATCTATTTCTGCTCTGATCTTTTGTTTCCTTTCTTCTGCTAATTTGGGATTTTATT